GGTGTGGAGCTGTCCAGTCGCGCCAGCTGGGGGGACTGGGGCAGGCTGGGGGGGCCGGCGGGGATGGGGGTGAAGGGCCGGGAGCCCTCCGGCCCCACAGCTTTGGGAGAGGAGCTCTTCCTCCGGGCAGCGTTGATGATGTTCCTGGCGAGCCGTGCTTGCATCTGCCGGCTGGCCCGGGGGTCGGCGTCCTGCCGCAGCGGGGACAGAGACCTCTCGCTCCATGGAGGGGACATTGGGGGTCCCTCATCCAGCTCGGGCACCGAGGCCGGGCTGGCCCAGCCGTCCAGGCTGCCCGGGCACCGCGCCAGCCGGGGCGTCCAGGTGGGCGAGGCGGGGAGGGACAGCCGCCTTTCCTGGAGGGGGACAGAGAGCGGGTTAGTGCCGGCACCACTCGGGGGGATGAAGGGGACAGAGCAGAGGGACAGGGGCAGGACTGGTGCCAGGGCAAGCTCCGTGCTGGCTCAGCCCTGCGGGAACTGGGGATGCATCCTCATGCATTGCACCCCCCACAAGGGCTCCCCAAAAATGCATTTGCCTCTGCACCCCCTCACCAGCCAAGGAGGTTGGGGCAGGCTTAGCCTGCAATTAATCAGCCTTGCCCAAAACATGACCCAGGACCTCTCACTACCTGCAGCTTCCTAAAGCTTCCCCCTGGGCGATGCGCGGAGACCCCCCTGCGCCGCCCCGGAGGTCCATCGCCCGGCAGCTGCTCCCCAGCTGGCAGGAAAGAGAAGAGCCAGGTCTGACAGCGCAGAGAGTGTATTCAGAAAGAAGGGGGAAAAAAAAGAAAAACACAGGAGAAATAAAAGCACAGTTGAAAGGCAACTTGTTACTGTAGGGAGAGCGGCGGGAGCAAGGGACGGGCAGAGGCACAGGCTGGACCACGAGCATCAGGCTGAGCATCACCGAGCTGGCCCTGCCCTCCTCTGCCCGGCACATCCCTTGCTCCCGGCCGTGCCAAGCAGCGCTGCCAGCTCCAGCACCGAGCCTGGGGACGGATAGGGACCCCGCGGTGTCCCCAGTGCCATGGGGCTCCACCATTCCCCCAGGGATGTGGCTCTCCTCCGTGGCATGGAAGCAAATGAGGACAGATCCTGAAGGAGCAGCAAAAGAGACAGGAGCAGGCACAGTGAGGCGGAAAGGTGGTGTGTCCCCTCCGGGTTTGCTTTGGTAGGAGGTCGATAGGAGCCAGCAGGACAGAGGGGCTGCAGGTGAGCGGGCAGAGCCAGCAGCTGCCGACTACGAGAGCTGGAAAGGCAGGAGGTGAGGAAAGGACGGAGCCAGAGATGCGATGCTCCGTACAGTTTCCAGGCGAGAGAAGAAAGTGCCGGCAGTCCCGTGGGACGGGCAGGCTCCCGACGGCTCTTTGGGATCCCGTGGGCTCTACGTCCCTGACTCCTCCCGCCTCCCCTCGGACTCCATTAAACC